GGTGCTCACCCCCGCCCCACGTGTGCAGTGAGGTCCACCAGGCAGTATGTGTGCGTGTGCGTGTGTGTGTGCACACGTGTGCAGACACGGTGCTCTCACCCTTACCCTCGCATGTGCACACACGCCACCAACACCTCTTCTTCCAGTCTCACTCTGGCCTCCACTCGGCCCTTCCCTGTGGTCAGTGCCCATCCAGCTCTGTGTGTGCACGTGTATGTGTGTGCCTGTGTGTGTGCCTGTGTGTGTGTGTGTGCGTGTGCGTGCATGTGTGCGTGCGTGTGCTTGCGTGTGTGTGCGCGCGTGTGTGTGCGTGTGTGTGCGTGTCAGACCTGGCCTGCAGGTCCCGGCAGTGCTGGCCAGAGCCTTGCAGTGGGCTGGCGGGAGTGGAGGCACGGTGACCCTTGGGCCCCTCCCGCGGTGTCTGAGGTCGGCTCGTGGCTCCCTGCGGTGCCCGGATCAGCTTGGCTGGGCGGCCTGCGTGTCGTGGAAATGGAAAACGCCGCTGCCTGCGGCTTTCCTTCACCTTTTGGCCCTGGCTCATTTTCCTGGCTCTGTTCAGATTACTTCCAGAGTGTTCTTTGGCGAGCCCGGACCGTGGTTCAACCAGCTGGACATGGATGGGGACAAGACCTCGGTGTTCCATGACGTGGACGGCTCCGTGTCTGAGTACCCCGGCTCCTACCTCACCAAGGAGGACAACTGGCTGGTGCGGCACCCAGACTGCATCGACGTCCCCGACTGGAGGGGGGCCGTCTGCAGCGGGCGCTACGCACAGGTGGGTGCCTGTTCTTGCTCACTCAAACACACATGCACATGCATACATACACACATGCACACACACCCTGCCCTTGGTCACAGTGAGAACCTGCTGTAAGTCCAGCTCTGTATACAGTCAGAGACAGACAGAATTCTTTCTTGTTTCCCTTGCTTTTTATGTTCCTCGTCCCCCAATAAGTTTCCACAGTCAAAACCTTTTGAACCTCAGCTACTTGGGAGGAGGAAGTCAATAGCAGTCCAAGCAAAACACGTCTCAAACACCACGCTGGGTGTGGTGGTCCAGGCCTGTCCACGCCATACAGGGGAGTTGTAAGTAGGAGAATGACATCCAGAGCCAACCCCAGGCAAAGAGGACTAAACAATGCCCGGAGCTGAGATTCAAGCAGCGGGGCTTCTGCCTGGTGAGGCTCTGCCTGGTGAGGCCGAGCTCCAACCCCAAACTGCCTAAGGATCACTCTGCAGCAGAGTGTGGGGGTCCAGAGCGAGAGGCCGGGCTGTGTCCAGTGCTTGCACCCCCAGCCCCAGATTCTGCCTTGGGGTAGCAGACAAACCTCACTGTGACACTGCAGGGTGACTTCAGGATGTGCCTCCGCAGTCCTGGGCAGCCAGAATCACCCTGCACATGCCCTCAGCCCTTCTAGCAGGCTTGCCAAAAAGCCAAAACAGGAGGTGTTAACTTCAATACTACCTTTTTCTTTTGGTCAGTCGTGGGGCTTGAACTCTGGGCCTGGGCGCTGTCCCTCAGCTCTTCAGCCCAAGGCTAGCGCTCTACTTGAGCCACAGCACCACTTCTGTTTTCTGATGGTTTATTGGAGATAGGAGTCTCAGAGACTTTCCTGCCCGGGCTGGCTTTGAACAGCGATCCTCAGATCTCTGCCTCCTGAGTAGCTAGGATGACAGGCGTGAGCCACCGGTGCCTGGCAACTTCAGTACTATTTTATTTCACTACATAGACTCAAAGAACTACCATCTCAACAAGTAAACCAGTACAACTGTTAATTAGTAAAATATCTAGTTTTTGGTCCTAAAACTCCAAACCCCACCAATTACTTTATATTTACAGTGTACTCGCTATGGGGGTGATTTGCAATAAAGTAAAACAGACAAGAGGTAGGGCGCTGTCTGCACAGGCCTGAATGGCCGGGGGGAGACCTTAGTTCCATTTTGGAAAGTGGGAAAATATTATACCACTTTTGTTTTGAATGTTAAATTAATTAAGACTCAGGATTCTGCCGGGTGCCAGTGTCTCACGCCTGTCATCCCAGCTACCCAGGAGGCTGAGACCTGAGAATCTCAGTTCAAAGCCAGCCCATTCAGGAAACTCTGAGACTCTCCTCTCCAAGTAACCACCAAAAAACTGGAAGTGGCGTGGTGGCTCAGAGGGCTCGAGTGCTAGCCTTGAGCAGAAAAGCTCAAGAGCACACCTAGGCCCCGTGGCTGACCTCCCCTCCAACAAAAAAAATGGGGCTCAGGTTCTTGTCCACACTGCTCAGTGGCTGTGTGTGGCCAGTGCCACCCCAGCCGGGCCTGAAATGGGGCAAGTGCTGTTTGGCCATTAGTGAAGTATTGTCACTGCTGGTCGGATGGGTAAATGGCTGAGGGGTTAGGAGGGAGGTCTGGCGTCCAGTGACACTATCGTCACACTGCAGGCATCAGGAACGGGCCCTGGAGAGTGGCCGAGGGAGGGTCAGGGCACGGACATGGGTGACCCAGGCGTAGGGCCTGGCGGGAGCCCGTGACAGGTGGGAGGGGCTGGGGTTGGCAGGAAGAGGACCAGACAGGAAGGTGAGAGCAGGAAGTGGGGGGTGTCTCCGTGCAGAGGTCAGAGGGGCCGAGGAGCTCTGCAGTGACAGGGGCAGGGGCTGCCGTAGAGGTGGAGGCCCAGTGGAGGCCCCACTCTGCCAGGCCGGGGTCTCCCGAGCCCCACTCCAGAGCCCTGGGAGAGGACGTGGACAGGGTGATCCAGGGCGAGGCTCTGCCACGTTTGTGGACAGGGCAAGGGCCGCCATGCCCCGGGAGTGGCTGCTGGCCTGGCAGTCCAAGGATGATAGCAGGGAAGGGAAGTCGGAGGCAGCGGACAGACAGGGCTGGGCCTGGGTAACTGAAGGTGACACACACCACCCTCAGCACGCGGCAGGCTGTGCTGAGCACACCCCACCCTGTGTAGAAAGGGCTGACGGCTAACCTGCCAGGCTATCCCGTTGCTGGTGGTTAACGATGACTAGTAACCTCCTCCCTTTGCTGAGTAGCTTTGCCACGTGGATCTCTTACCTTTGGATGCTTGGACAGGGCTGTGGTTCTCATGACAGCTGTGATAAAGCTGGAGGGTGGGGGGGAGAGGCCCGGGCTCTCAGCCACACGGGAGCCACTTACTCGGGGCCAGTGTTTCCAACCCAGCCAGCTCTGCTCCCAGAGGCCCAATCCCGTCTTTCAGTTTCACCTCTGGTTTTTTGTTTTGTTTTTAGGTCAGTTGTGGGGCCTGAACTCTGGGCCTGGGCGCTGTCCCTCAGCTCTTCAGCTCAAGGCTAGCGCTCTACCACTTGAGCCACAGTGCCACTT